CTTCGGCCGGCTCGGCGGGGAGGTGCTAAGGAGGGGGGGGGTGTGGTAGCTTTTTCCGCATGTACTGTCAGACTGGTGCGAGCTCCCGAAGTTCCAGGGAGCTCTGACGCTGTTTTCTACTCTTTCTTGGTGACGATGATAATGTTCTTCGAATCGTTGAAGATTCGTTGCTGTTTACTATTCTGTTTGTGACTGTGTATGACCTTGCTGTTTGTGACTATTGCTGTTTACTATTCTGCTTTCCACTAACACTTAGAAAGACAGAAGACGCTAAGAGCTAAAACAGTGATGCACCTGCTTGTAAACTAAACAACTTTTGCGTCTGGGTCGCATTGAAATTGTTTACCAAATTTTGCAAATTGCTAAAACATGTGGGTGATTTTTCAGAGAATAAACCCGGGCCAGGCTGGACGGGCAAGGGATTCTCCTCGATATGCACGCCATCGAGACTCCAGGGGCAATGATGAGTGCTCTGTCCAAAAATAGCACGGCACAGCAGCTGAGAAAGATCAGGGTTGTTGAAGATGATGACACTGACACGGCTCACACTGCCTCACAGTCTTGCTGGACTTGACCCTCAACGAACCCTACCAGCGAGAGTTGTTTGACAGACCTAGACCTCTGATCCTTTGAGTCATCTGGAAAAGGCGCCCTCAGGAAAACGATAGATAGGCAGCACCAGGCGACTGAACATGTCCGGGCGGATCTCCTCCTCCTGCTGGAGGCGGAATATTGGGCGGAGTGGACCAGAGTGCAAGCAGAGATGCGTAGTAACAGGAGCTATACGATCTTTTCCTTGCGAGGGTTCGAGGGCGGGCAGGATAGCTACCATAGCTCGAGGAAGGCTCAGCTTCGGATGGCACGACTTTCAGGAGCCCTATGGGAACGGGCGGATCCCGCTCGAGACTCCAGCCAAAACCAGCTGTAGACGTCGGGAGACAGCCTGGTGTCCTCCCTTGGGCAACAATCAATAGGAGGCCCCCCAGCCTCCCCCCCAGTGGGACTAGAACACAGGCTCAGTGGGAGAGGTATACAAGCTAGACATTACAAGCCAGTAGTAGAGGTCGAGGAGAAAAGACAGCCGGCAAGGAAACAGGGGCCGAGCAGCGGTACATCCTGGGGGAAAGAAATCACTGCCGCTGATTCGGGATCTCCTGGCCAGAATGGGGAGTTGTATTGTCGTGCATTGCTAATTTAAGGGACGCTGGACTTGGTTTGAGCTTTGAAGCTAGAATGGAACGAAAAAAAGAGAGAAAAAATGGGGTACCCCAAAAAGAAAGAAAAAAGGGGGTACCCCAAAGGAAGCCAAAGTAAAGATATTGAAGAAAGTGATATAACGAATCTATTCTGCTCTACAAAAAGAAAAAGCAAAAAAAAAAAAACTTCAAAAAAGTTACGTTATTTTGATTTTGATTTTTTTTTCCCGCCTGGCCAGACAAGTACTCCCGAGCCACTCTGGTAGCCTAGTTTTCCACTTTATTTTTTGACTGTTTGTCCAATGCAGTCACCTGTTTTTCAAGGTGTGCTTTCACTAATGCAGTTGCAGCAGTGATGATGTGATTGCTAGCGCATCTTCTCCTGTTGGACTCTGCTGTCATGGAACTGGAGCATGAACAATCGTCAGTGGTGAACTGACTTAATAGGAAAAGGGAAGGGGCCCTTCGTCTCACATGCGTTGGCAATTTGTGGAATCACTGTCTTTTTCTTGCAGGGTTTGACCGACAGGTTCAAGGAGAAGGATGTGAGCCTAACTGGGAGCTGTACATTGTCTTACGAGTCGTTCATGTTGATGGTCCTGCCATTCGTATCCGGGTGAGAGGTTACTCTGTGATTGCACGCATGCCCCAAAGGTCCTCTATGCGTTCTCCTGATATGTATCATCAATTGTACAAGAGAGAGTGGGCCCTTTCATCGCAGGACTGAACAGTAAATGGAATAGGAAAGGGTGTGGAGGGGGTAGCCCTGTGGATCAGTGTGCCCCTGCTGGGTGAATGCGAATTAGAGGATGTAAATATGTTGGAACTTTTGCTGGCACTCGCGTATTGTCTCAGTCTGCAGTGAAAGAAGGTGGTTATGAATCGGCGGGGGGGGGGGGGGGAGTAGCCTGATGGGGGATGTTGCCTATTGTTCTGGTTATGGGTCGTCATCATTGAAGGAGAAAAAAGGACACGGTTCGACCAGGCAAGAAGTCAAGTAAGGTGCTGTAATCTTGTCGGCATTGTTTGCTATGCTCCTGTCAAGCTTTCAACCATAAACTCAGCCCAATCAAGCCAGCCTAGCGGGGTCTATAGTACTAGGTATACCTGGATTTCGTGTCCTGTAGGGTATATCGATGCTCGTTCATGAGGTCGGTTGCTCGGAGGACTTGGACTATGTGTCCCTGTGGGAGTTTGATTTGTGGTGGAGGATGCCTTGACGTACTGAGAGAGATGCTCAGAGACTCGGTATCCGTTGGGTCTTCGTCAGGATTAGAATGATTCTGAAAATATTAGCATGGTGCCTGATTGTTGGGGATCATCCACCCAAATTGCGAAGCGGTTGGAGTTTGGCACCCTGTCGGCGGGATGAGTGGCTGAGGCTTCCAGGGCAGTCCTTGGGAGTTGGGGACGGTGGGTAGAGAACATTTCTGGAAGCGTAGGAGGTGCTTCATAGCTGGTGTGGGGACAATAGCAAGTCTGTTGTGTTCACGTGAGAGGTCGGTTTTCGATGTAATCGTGCAGATCTATAGTGGCTTGCCCCTCTGTCCTCCTCCTTTTGCCTGCCTACAGGCACATTTGCTGTTGTCTTTTCCTCAATTTAGAGAGCGCTGCGTGGCTTTCTCTTTTTTTTGTTTCCCTTGTTGTTGAGGCAGCGAATATAGAATTTTTCTAGAGTTTGTATCTCAGTATGAGAATGTTGTCAGCCTAGCAGCACCCACACGGATATCGCGAAGTTAACATGTTTCTGATCATAAATGTCTCCCTCCCTGTCACACCTTGCCCTGTCTTGTCACTCATCCCTTCCCAACCTTTCGTTTCTGCCCCTTTTCGTCTCCCTCTTGTTCTGCTCTTGCTGCTGCTGCTGCTGCTGCTCTCTCTCTCTCTCTCTCTCTCTCTCTCTCTCTCTCTCTCCCCACCTCCAGCCCATTGTTGCTCTTCCATTTTATACTGATAGTCAGTTGGGTCCTGTGTCGAGAAGTGATGGTATGATGATGAATCCCTCACTCTACGTTGCTAGAATCGGATTTTATGGTTTTATGTGTTGCTTCCATCTTCCACCGTGAATGGACTGAGTGTATGGACCTCTACTGGCATCGTACTCCCTTATGTTGGCTTCTTTGTAGAGATGTCTGTTTTGGCTTCTCTGTAGAGATGTCTGTTCTAACATCAGTGCTTGATCTGTTTGATGGATCGGTTGTTGGCTCCCAAGAGGGCATTGATTATGGTTATCCACATGTGTGCAAAATGAGTACTATTACCAAGATTCCCATATGCTCTTATCTTGCTTCCATTACTACCGTCTGTCTGTTTCTCTCGGGGCGATGGAGTGGTCAAGTCTTCAAATTGAACCGAGTCCATGCTATGCTCTTAATGCGGCACATTGTCGCAGCTTCTGAGTTATGCCTGATAAAGAACCCTTGGAATAGACTCTGAAGGCAAGGCCTCGGGACCTGTGTGGCAAAAGGCTCAAAACTCAGGCAAGTCCAGATCCTCCCAACCTTGAATAATGGAGTGACAAAGCGATGCGCAGGAAGTGTGTAATGCACAGCAATTTTTGAGTCATGAGTCAAATGAACCTCAGAAGCTAGTCGATGCAACCAGAATCTAGGGATAGGAGAAATGAAATTTTGAGCTGATGATTGAATAATGCTTATCAGAGTTGAATCGAAGAAGGGTGGTTTGAACACCGAAAGAGTGCAGAATAGACGATATAGAACAACTGCAATTGAACTAGCGGTGTCCTGTGTTTGCCTGTTTGTAACTTTTTTACTGCACAATGGTGATCAGCCGTTCCTTCGTGTCGTCGTCATCCTATGTAGATTGATTGAGCCTCTACCAAATCCACCTTCTTCATAGCAGAATCTTATGAATGAAGCTGTGAAGGTAGAAATAGAGTAGATACTAGACAGCCAGGTCGGACCATCCCTTGTTGCGGTGGTATACTTGTTAGACTGTTGCATCAAGCCGTAGTGTCAGGGGTGGGGTACAGTCAGGTGACCTGTCGTGCTCAGCTACGGGTTGCCGTCAGGTGTGGCCTGTTTTGCGTAGCTGGACTTTCAGTGTTAACAAGGGGTTTCTAAACTTTGAAAGTACACCTTGGCCATCTTTAAGTAAGTGTGGATCTTGAAGTAAGCTCTCGTAGAACATCCAGTTGTGTCGATAGTTGGATTGGAGTGTGGATTGCACGTCTCTCGCTGTGCAAGTGTGCTGAGTTAATGCGAACCTGAGTCTGCGCAAAGGCCGATATGGCTGCAGAAGGTTGGCATGGAAACGCAATGTCAATGGCAGATTTTCATGATAGTCGAGATTCTTTCAAGCCTGATTATGTCCCTCACATCCTGCGCTCCCCGTAGAGGGAAGTGCCAGCTCATTGCCACCGTATATCACTTGCAGTACCGGTGGGCATGATGTCAGACAGTCACCGTCATCTCAGAGCATGTGCGATCGCTGTAGATAATAAACCGACGCTGACATGTTGGATTGCACTCGAGAGAGCACGCAAGTTGACATGAGGAAAACTGAGTCAAGACCAGGCAGATTCAGGGTGTTGATTCTACGTGGTCAATAGATGCTCCTCGCTGCTACACAACTGGAAAGCCTGAAGTGGTTGAAGTGCAAAAGGAGCAGCAGCAGCAGCAGGGACATTGGCATGAGCATTGGGCGGGTCTTTGTGCAACGGCGCAGGCTTCTCCCTGCAGAGTGTAGACACTGTGTACCGGAGTGCATCACTGTTACACTGCCCTGTGGTCTACTGAGAAACTGGCTTAGGAGGGTAGCGACGCAATGGCAGAGCAGCAGGAGGTGAGGGTCTTTCTGTGGCAGGTGGCTTGGGAGCACAGTTCAAGTTACGGAAACATCTTCCTCATGTTCTTCTCATCTTTCTTCTTCTGAGTAGTAGGTTTTGCACACATCTAAAATTTTCCACCTTGCCTGTGAGTTTGCATGAGGAATCGTCGAAGATTGAGCTGAAGGCAATGGGCAGACATGATGCTGTACTGCACATCCTCCTCCCTCCACCTTGGCAGTGTTGCTGCAGAAAGCTGACAGGTCATCCGATGTCTTGGGTTTTCCGGCCATGTGACAGGCAAGATCCGACGGCGGAGTAAACGGACCGAATATGACACCATTGTCCGATCGATCGTGGCATTCGCACTTCTGTTCCTTCTGCAGTAACCAGTACTTCAACCCTTGGCTGAGGACAACCGAACGCCCTGCACGGTAGGTTGGCTGGTGGGAGGAGCAATCTCGTGGCCCCCTTCTGCAATGCGGTTCGATGCGCGTCAACGATATCTGTGAAGAAGACACAGCAGAATTCGGCTCGTGCCCCAAGAACGGAGGCAGGTGAGCGGCATTGTATGCCGGTATGGAACGGTAGGATTACGATGTGGAGGGAACATGGGTAGTTGCTTTTTCTGTCACGCAGATGGAAGAGGGGGAGGGGGGGTGTTGAATATGTGGTTTAGCACTTCGTAGGAGGGGAAGAGGGATGGATGATGGATGGTTATTTTGAAGTTAGGGGCCGTGTACAGGGTTGAACTATTGCGAGATGGCAGAAAACCGTGTATGCAATTATCGTGAGACGTTTGTTTTTCGAACGAGTGATGGTTCTTTGATAAGGTTTTCAATGATTTCATACAAGATTCATAGCTAAATCTATCTTCATACAAGATTCATAGCTAAATCTATCTCTTGGGTTTGGGTTTAGGGTTCCTTTCAGAATATTCTCGGCGAAAGTGCTATTTCGTTTTGCGGTTGAGTTTTTCCAAGGTCATGAAGTAAGAGTGAATCCAGTCCTTGTCTTTTCCGCTGCAATCGTTTTGCGTGGGAGCCTCTATGGAAAAGAGTGGTTGCTTGAGAAAGCAAGCATTCAAACATTCAGGTGAGGGGGTTGAGACAGGATCGTTAGACCTTTGTGAATGTCTGTCCCCTTTTTTTCCGCTTATTATTCTGACATTGGGACCGTTTGGAAGGCAGGAGGGGGACCAATTCCTTTCTTGTGCATGTTTCCAGTCTGTGTGGTTCGAAGGCACATACTCCGTAGTATGTAGCCGCTGTGAGCGAGGGACGGCGTCCATTGTTGTCTCTGATATCTGGGGTTGGCGATTGGTACTCGGCGACTTGTCCGCAGCGCAAAGGCACTGTAATGCTGATTTTCATCACAGCTTGGTGATGTTTGCGGTTTATTTGCTGCTTTGAGGAATCCAGGCAGTGAGTATCTGGTCAGATCATGGATTGGAAAATGCAGAGAAGTGGTGAAAGAAAGGGACAGTGGTCTCAGGATATTCACAAGACGTCTTGAAGACATTTGTATGAAGCGGTAGCAGTCGGTATTATTGTAAATGGACGTTACATTCAGTACTCTTGAGTAAGTAAGTGGTGAAAGAAAGGGACAGTGGTCTCAGGATATTCACAAGACGCCTTGAAGACATTTGTATGAAGCGGTAGCAGTCGGTATTATCGTAAATGGACGTTACGTTCAGTACTCTTGAGTAAGTAAGTGGTGAAAGAAAGGGACAGTGGTCTCAGGATATTCACAAGACGTCTTGAAGACATTTGTATGAAGCGGTAGCAGTCGGTATTATCGTAAATGGACGTTACGTTCAGTACTCTTGAGTAAGTTAGTATGTGTATGCTTGCCGATTAGTAGCGACTACTGAGATTTTGATCGATCGATCGATCTTCCGATCTCTTGGAATCCATCAGACGTTTCAGCTCTCGAGACCCAGGACATGGTCCTTTTCCGTTGGGCATTTAGTATGCAGTATGTAGTACGTACCCTTGCGGACTATACAGAGATTGATCAGGCTTCACAGCTCTTCGAAACTGAGTATACTCTTCAATTCTCCAGATACAGGGCTTGGACCCATTTTCGCTGGGTGATTAGTATATGTGAGACACGTTTCTTGTCTCATTTGCAGTTACATTTCTTCTCGTCGTTCGAGTTTTGAATTTCTATTGTTTTTTTTTGGCATGAATATCCAAATGCGATTTTCCTACTGTGCTCTGCTACGTCTTGCACTGGTCTATACATATACTGAGACAAGAAGTGGAAAAAAGCCATTGTGCAGATTCAAGTTATATATCAGACGGCCTCTCGGGTGTTCTCCAGGCACGTCTTACGGACGGATTGCAAAGATCCTCGGAGTAAGCGGTTATCTTCACAAAAGTTGAAAAGACTGGTGCTAGTCAGGGTCGGTGTTTTTCCTTAGTTGGGAAAGGTGGCAAACAGACCCTGAATCCGTAGCGAATGCGTCCGGCAGTTTATGAGCCTCTGAATCGCATTACGGAGGGCCAAAGCGGCTGGAAAAGCGTGCGCAGTACGTATGGAGGAGGGAACCTTGTTGTGTGTACACTTTGTGCTGATTTTGATGTGAAGCTGCTGTGCAGAAGAAGGTTCCCTTGACGGGTAATACATCGAAAGCAAGATCACTAACTCGCAAGCGAATCATCTCAATGGGGAGTAACCCGCCTGTGCGTGCAGTGAGGTACACTGACATCTGCTGGCAAGGTCGGCGGCCCTGACTGACTTTTTTTTTTTTTTTTTTTGGTTTTGTTTTTGTTTGTTTGTTTACTTCAGTTTTTTTTCCTGTTTGTCATTCCGTTGCGCTAACTATTTCGCACCTGTAGCCTTTACGATAATATGCTAGCGATTCCGAGCTTGTAGTCTTTACCACAATATGCTACCGTCTTCACCCGAATAGAACGCCCGGTCATTATAGCTGCATTTGGCACAACTTTCAGTCCAGATGCAGTGGTAATTACCGGGCGTTCTATTCGGGTGAAGACGGTAGCTATTCCGAACCTGTAGAGCCTTCACGGCAATACTTTTGACTGGCAGGCAACGAACATGCATGTGCACGTCTGCAAGGGTATACATACAGGTACGCTGTCCGCAGGTTTTCATAACCCTGAGATAGACGACACCTTTGCACCCTGCAGTGTGCTTCAAACTTTTTGATATTAGATGATTTGAGTTCCTGGATGTCGTTGAGAGGGGGGAGATACATATAGTGAATCTGCACAGATGGTTATTTCCCTTGTCTGTTGCGTCTGTTTCTCGATTAATTTGAGTCTGTAGATAGAGAAAGTTCCCCAGCATGTTAACTTGGCAGACTCAGTTCGCTGAGATTCTTGTGGACTGCACGATATCCGCGGTGGTACGTTGCTTTCTGTGTCGTTTTTCGCATGTTCTCGAGGGTTGCCATGCAAACAAACAATACCTCTTTGTGCCTTGTTTTTTTTTCTCCCGCTCCTCTTCTCCCTTTTACAAGGAGAAGGGATTAGACTCGTGGAACCTGTTTTTCTGTTCGTGAACTCCGTGTGCAAAAGTAGAAAAACTTGGTGCGGTTCACAAGGAACTTCCATTGTTCACAGAGATAGTGGATTGGTGGCATGTTGTTGCTACCATTGACAATGATCTGGCGTTGTTGACGAAGAGAATATTTCATAAAGAAACAGGAAGGGATGTTTTAATCGTTCGCTCGATTTCACAGCTTTTCAGGCGTGCACATGCCATTGGTGAGCAGTGGAGATTAATGGAAGATGATCAAAGCCGAGCTGTCAGATCTGGAAACATGTCTTGCGACATTCAGAGAGATTGTCGAAAGATAAGATGGGGGAGAGAGAGAGAGAGAGAGAGAGAGAGAGAGAGAGAGAGAGAGAGAGAGAGAGAGAGAGAGGCACTCTCACTTTCACAGGAAGTGAGATAATGGTATCCTGGAGTCTGATTTGTCGTTACCTGAATCATACGTTCATAGTCTGGCAGTGCTGACCATTGCCAGCTGTAGTCTCTCGACGGGTGCTAGCGCAGAGGAGGGAGGGGGGTGAATTTGAGCGATGGATGTACTGCATGTTTATATGACTCGCAGTGTGACAATGTATGAACTGTGATGTGTGCTGTATGTAGGGATACTATGAAGGTGAATCACCTGTCGTCGATAATGCGAGCAGCATTATGTTCAATGTTTGTAGTCGCTTTCTATATCGCTTCACAATGGTGTTCACTAGAGAGCCTGTACTTCAGTGCACTGTAAATGATCTGTCTTTTTTGACTTTTGTGTAAACGACCTATCTCTGTGTACAGCCTCAGAGACAGGACATAAGTGTGCTGTAAATGTACTGCGGCCATAAACAGCACATATTTCTGTCAGTCGTGCATCTGCTGTGAAAGCCGTCTTTCCTTTTATGCGTGTCATGAGCCGTATGCGGCTACCTTCTTTTGCTTTTTTGTTTGCATTTCCCGTGAGTTCGAAATTCGGACCATTTCTCGATTTGTGTGACATGCTTGAAAGTGCAGGGGGAATGCAAACCAATCTTATCGGCATCATTCCAATTTTTTGAGGGATGCCCTTAAAGGATGTGTGACAGCTGCCTTCCGCAACGGCTTGATGTAGCAATTGCCGATATTACTGTCGTGGAAAAGGAGTGGGTAGCACAGACTTTCCAGCGAATACCCGGTGATAAGAGAAAATTTTACAGCTCCTCCCGACTCTAAGAATCTTTTTTTTTTTTTTTTTCAACACCTGGCCCGGGCTGCTATTGGGGGTGATATGAGCACCCCTCCAAAGAGTCTACATCTGGACCTACAGTGAACATGTGATGCCTTTCACCATGGTACGATGGACTATTGTCTTCGACTTTCCTGCCAGTGCGCTTTTATGAGCCGCAGAGCACGCTACAGCGGGCACTTGTGAGCCGTGGAGCACACAAGACGGCAAAGTTGCTTCGCTTGTAGTATCTGAGGCTCCTTCACTTCACAGCTGCCTCCCGCATAGTCGTGTGATTTAGCACAGGCTTTACAGACAGTTTGGTCGAAGACCTTGCCGTTTCTTTCTTTCGGAGTACAGTGAAGTTGTTGGTCTGATTCTGGGCGCAAGCTCAGGATTTCTTTTTTATTCTAAGGGGAGATGGTAATGTTGTCCTTGCATACATTTGGGCCTACGTGCGTGCTACTCAATTCGGTTGGCTTCCGGAGGGGCCTTAGTCATAAGTGGCATGTCTGGCTGTGCTATGTCATTCTGAGAGGTCTTTTCTGAATCATTTCTTTGTCTATGCTCTACTTCCGCGTCATGAAGTGCCGTGAATCTGGAGATAAAACTGTCTTCTGTTAATACGGGCTTGGCACAAAGGATAAAACTGTCTTCTGTTAATACGGGGATCCCTCCACAAACAACCCGGAAAACAAATTTTAGGACTATTACCCAGCTTAGGTGAAGGCGTTGGGACTTCTGTCCAGGAGCAGAAATGGCCAAAACCGGACTGCTGCCCTGACTGTTCATGACTCTGGGAGCCTAGTCTTTCTGTTTGCAGCATCCTGCTTTTATTATTTATTTATTTATTTATGATTATATATTTCAATTCGTTGTCGCAGCGTCTTTTCTTAAACCACCAGTACCTACTGGTTGTCAAGGCCCATGGCTCAGGCTACCGAACATTCTGCAACAACAACAACAACAACAACAACAACAACAACAACAACAAAAAAAAAAAAAAAAAAAAAAACCACAAAAACGAAATCACACATTCCCAATGAGAATGAATCTTCCTCGATAAAGAGGAAGATTCATGTGTGTGTGTGTGTGAGAGAGAGAGAGAGATAGAGAGAGAGAGAGAGAGGGCGCCAGCCAGTGTCCGACGCCAAGTTTGGTGCACCAAACCCGGCTTAGACACTGGCTGACACCCTCTCTCTCTCTCTCTCTCTCTCTCTCCCTCTCTCTCTTTCTTTGCCCGCCCTGCCGCGCCGGTTTCTTTTGCGTTGCTAGTTAACATTTTCGTTGCCGCTTTATTATTATTATTATTATTTACAGGGTTACCTGACCGAACGTTCGGGGGCCCCCGGGCTGGCCCCCCGAACGTTCGGGCGATCGGGGTCCCGTTCGGGGGCCGAACACCTCCAGGTTCGGCCCCCGCCAAAAACATTTTGGGGGCCTAAAAATAAGTTTTTTTTCTGATTTTTTTTTTGTGAGTTCTCTATGATGTACACGCCTATAAATTTTGAAGCCATTCTGCTAAGCCAAAAAAACATTAAAAATCGTCAAAGACGGGGTGTCAAAACGTGCTCGCCCACTCACTATTTTGTTTTTTTTTTTCTTTTAACTTTTTTTTTTCACTTTATTTCGGGGCCTAAAAAAAAATTATTATTTTTTGAAACATTTTTAACGAGTGACTGATTATGCAAACTACATATCTGTAAATTTTCAGGGCATTTGCCAAGGCCAAAAAATAATTAGAAATTGGCAAAGATGGCGGTTTCGAAAAGGTGCTGGCACACTCACTCATTTTAATTCTCTTTTTATTTTTTCTTATTTTTATCATAGTGTTTATTTTCTGTATTTGATTCTTAGTTCAAATTTCTCCATAACGTAATTGTTTTGCGGAATTTTTTGAAAACTTTTTTTTTTTTTTTTCTTTTCTTTTGGGTCCAGGTTCTTTCAAACGGCCGAATGCCTTCCGAAGGGGTCCCGTACGTTCGGGCGTTCGGGTTCGGGCGTTCGGCCCGTCCGAACGCGGGCAACCCTGATTATTTATTTATTTATTATTATTATTATTATTTTTTGCGCCCGTTTTTTTGGGACTACCGGTTGCCGATCAGTGGGTACCCCGTCCTACGTGGCGTGTTATCGGTCGCGTCGGATTTCACAAGCAGGGCGAGGTACTGGTGGTTTAAACGACCAGTACGTTTTCCCGTTATCAAAAAGAATATGCGGCTTGTCCGGAGGTACAGATGGAAATGCCTCCACCAGCTCCGGTTGAGGACGAGTTCGCAGCGGTGGCCAGATTGGATGCTGCAGACCCTCTGCTGCAGCTATGGACAGCTCCCGGACAAGTTATCAGATTCAGGGAGCTCATCACCCTGTTGGACAGCAGTTGCAGCGTCTGCACGGTCCTCGCTCAAGGCCTACCTAGTGGTGCCAGCTGCCAGAAAGTGTGTCAGCGCCTGATGGCCATAGTCTATCAGAGGTTCCAGCCCTGCAAAGAGGCAGACGGACCCAACAATGATCGGGGGGTTTTGCCCATGGTGGCAAT